TGGTCCTCATATGAGACATATCGCGATAGATGACGCACACTATAATTGTCTTTATATTCGTTATACCATCGAACAACATGATAAAGACAAAATATGGGTCAAAATTTAGATATCCGTGTGTTCCAAATTTCTCCACCATTTCAAATGCTAGAAAGTTCGAGTTGGTGTCAAAATAAAGACAAAAATTAACTCTACAACTGAACAGGAATCGATCGTTCGATTTCCGTCTAGTTTGTGTTCCTAGAAAACCTACTGTAGAGTAGATACATAACACTTAGTTTTTTATAAACATCAGTGGAGTAATCGAAAAACCCAACTCTGTGAAGTTGTAGAGCTAATTTTTACCTGCATTTTGACACTAAGTCGAGCTTTCTAGCGTTTAAAATGACAGAGAAATCTGGGATGCATGGAAACATAAGAGTCAAAATTTTTCAGAAAAAAAGTTATTTTCATATATATGACAGTTCAGAAAAACCTATGTAAAATATTCTTAAATCTTATCATAAAATCAATAAACTATAGTGCATTCAAGAATAGACACTTTACTCTATCTAATGAGCTATATACCACAAAATCCATACATTTGACCAAAATTGGGTTTTTCTGAAGGGCCTCCTTAATAGAAAATTTCCAACGTGATTATCATTTATGATCATGGGTAACAACAATGTCTTGAATAGCAGAGATGGGAACAGGACAGGACGGTGCGGCCGTCCTGGTGTCCTGTCCTGCAGGACAGGTTGTATCAGCTTGTCCTGTATTTTTAGATGTGATTTTCTTATGAATTTTTATATAAAGTTTTTCTTAGATTATTTGTATAATACTTATCATAATCGGTTACATTTTACATATTTACTATCAGTTCTAGGTGTCAATATCAAAGTGACAAACAATTCTCGTATTACATTAATCGACAAAAATTTTAAACTGCGAGGGAGCATACAATACAGTGATAGAAAAATAAATAAAGGCAGATAATCACTAGTTATCGATGGTTATTCGTTCATCCGTGCTTATATTGCTTTCTTGTCCAATCCTACGTTGTTTTAATGACTTTTAGATTTCTAACGTTTTCAAAACAAGGTGATTTATAAATGTAGTTGAAATATCTGCATTACTTGAAGCTCCTCTGGATTCAGAAAAAAATATAGTTGTCAAAAACGAATCATCAACCGTATTCTCTTCTTGATGGAACGCATTTGGATTTTCAGCTAAATTAGATAAAAATAATCAGAACCAATGTATTTTCGGGTACGTTAGCTGCTTCAAGTACTTTCAAACATTTATTAAGTTATTGAAAAACACTCATTGATCAGTTACCTTTTTTTGTTGCTCTTGATATGATTACTATATCATACTATGATGACTATTATGAAACGTTCACGCTTCTTGTTTTGCAATGTAATTTTGCGTAATGAGCATGTTATTAAAGCTAATTCACTTGTCGTGTTTATTTTGTATTATTCAGTCAAACATCGCTTAAGAATAGAATTGTGATGTTTACAACTGTATGGAATAAATTGATTACAAGATGATCGAGATGTTTAATATATGCTTCACTTGATAGAAAATTAAAGATGTCATGTTCGTCCTGCTTAATGCCCTGTCCTGTCCTGCCGCTCGACAGGACGGAGGTCGATTTCAGGACAGGGCCGGACAGGAGGGGAAAAGTTGTCCTGTTCCCATCTCTGTTGAATAGCTATAATTGAAAGATTGATACATTTGATTAGTGTTGGTTGAATTTTGAAGAACGAGGATTAATCATTACTTATGCTTGATATTTCTTTTTGACTAAAGAAAGTTATCTTTGTCTCTTTTTTTCGTCTAATTTTTAAGAGTACATCATCAACATTTGTTTATCAATTTTTATTTGTTTCACATTTTGAAAAGCCAAACGAAAAAAATCGATCGCACACGTTGACTTTATTTTTCTCTTTGTCCTATCGTCAAAATCGTACATTGGCTGTTTATTATATATATATATATGTTGAATCTTTTATGCAGGGCTTCATTTTTCTATTCTACACGATTCGACTAAATTATTAGAATGAATAAATATACTCATTTCGAAGATTTATCAAATGAGATTTTCTTTGAAATATTTGATTATTTACATGCATTAGATATTTTTACTTCTTTTACTTCATTAAATAAACGAATATCATCTATATTACAATTGATTCCACTTCGTATTATTATTTCACATAATCATTGTCGTCAACAAATAAATTATCTTTCTTCATATCTTACATATCATGATCATCAAGTTATATCAATAAATATTGATAATATTTGTGATAATTCATCTGTTATTAATTTATTATTTAATCGACATAATTTTATTAATCTTCAATCATGTATATTTATTTCAATTAATCCATCAACAATACTTGAAAATGTTATTAAAAAAATAGAAAATCTCAAGAAACTTTCATTATTCTGTTTTCATGATTTAAATGATAATAATATAAATAAAAATGATAAATATAATTTAACTCAAACAATATTAATGCACAAATCATCTTCTCTTCGTTCAATTGTACTTAAATATCGTTATGATTATTTAGATATATCTAATTATACTTCAATACCTTCGAATCTTCTATCACTTAGTTTATATATATCTGGTTCACGTTCAACTGTATCTGTTTATTCAATTTTACCAATTCTTCGTTTTTGTCATAAATTACGATATCTACAAATATCAATAGAACAAACACATCTAATTGAAAATAATAATATCAAGTATAATGAATTGATTAGAATGAAAATTTTTAAAAACATTATCTAAAAGTATTCATTAGTGTTGTTTTTCTTTTTTAGTATTTCAATTCCAACACTATCGATCAATAATAATGATCTTCCTATATTAACACAATTGATATCTTTCAATTTAGAAATTTATGCTATATGTGATAGTCGTTCAATTTCTTATATTTTACGTTGTATGCCTAATCTTATTCGATTTCATTTTATTCTTGCTATAAGAAAATCAGAATGGTTCTATGCTGGTGAATTACTTGATGGTTATCTATGGGAACAAATGTTCGAACTTTATGTACCATGTTTATCAAAATTTGATTTTCATATGTCAATATTTAAACCATTACCGAAATTAAATTTAGATATGATTGTTAATTCATTTGAATATTTTGTTGAAAAATATTCTAATTGGCATATGATTATTGATCAATGGACAACTAATCGGAAACATCGAGGTAAATAAAGTTTTTTTTTTTTGTTTCTTGATAATTAAGATTTAAATGCAAGATGTTTCTTTTTTTTTCATTTATTGTTCTTATTTTAGAAGAATTTGTAATGTTGCGTACATTAAATTATGAGAAACGACAATCAATAGTAAATGTAAATATTCCTTTTATTTATTGGGATTCATTTAAAACACGATCAACATTACCAGATGATCATTATTGTTTTTATAAAAATGAAACACATTTGAATATATATATGACATGGGATACACCTATTATTACTTGGTCTTATCCTTTATTTTCACAAGTCACTTATCTATGCATAGATATGCCAAAAAAATGTCCATCATTATGGAAAAATTTCTTAGATATTAGTAAGAAGAATGTTCATATATAGATGAATTTTGTTGTATTTTTTTAAAAATTTTATTCATTTAGTTAATCATCATCATACAGATGATGATGACAATGATGATGATGATGATATTAATGATGCAGAAGACAATGTTATTTCCCTTTCATATTTTGTTCATTTGTCCAATATAACTAATATAGAATTTACACCAAACTTTCATATATCTCGATGGAAAGATATTCAATTTATTCTACAGTAAGTATAATTTATATTTACAAAACAGAATGTTTCTATATATATTATGAAGTATATTAAATAATAGTTACTCTTATAGCAAATTAATATAATAATTATGTTATTTTTGTTTTATTTTAGATCGTGTCCAAATTTAATTGATCTTAAAATTAATGTTCAATTATTAATTTCTTCGAAATTATTCAATAATCCATCTCTTATTTCAATTTTCAAACAAATTAAAATACTTAAATTAATAACAGAAAAAATTTATTTTCCTTCAAATTCTGCAATAAAATTTGTTCGACGTTTTCCATCACTTACTCATATTGAACTTAAAGTATTTTCATTTGATAATTGTGTATCTACTATTGATATATTTCTTAATTATCTACAATATTTGTCTTATACTAAAATTAATTATGATCAAATTACATTACTTGATGATCCATTTTCACGTGATTATATTATTGAAAAACGCTATCAACTATTTCCCAATACTATTTTTGATGAAACTATAGTCAATGTTAAAAATAATGATGAATCTGTGGAAATCTGGTTATCATAATTTTATATATATATATGTGTAGAATTTTCCTGTTTCAATAATAAAATAATCATAAAACAAAAATTTGTTTTAAGTATTTTTTTTTAAATCACAAACTATTTCTCATTGGTATATGATTTTGAAAATTAGGGTGTGGGTGTGGGTGGCGTGGGGGTCTGCATGAGAACAACCACACTCCACACGTACAACTCCACAGCCACCCACTACTAGCCGCGTCCACACCCACATCCACACTCACCCACACCCTTAACAAAGTTTTTGCGTTTTTTTTTAAATTTTCTAAAACATTCGAGAAAGTTCTAGAAGTTTCCATACTAAGGGTATATAAAGGGAGAGTGAATATCTTTCGCATGATAATAAAGCCATCGATATGGACGCTGATCATGAGCTGAAAATGAATCTTTCTCGTAGAGAGATTCGAGTGCTTTTACTTCATGAATTCCGTCTTGGTCACAAAGCAACGGAAGCAGCCAACAACATATGCAGCACGATGGGGGAGGATGTACTCTCTACTCGTACGGCACAACATTGGTTCAATCGCTTTAAGAACGGTAACTTAGAACTCGACGATTTACCTCGGTCCGGTAGACCATTGGAAGTGGATGTGGATCTCTTAAAGCAGTTTATCGAACTAGATCCTCGATTGACTTTACGGTGCTTAGCAGAGCAGCTTGGGTGCTCTTATGTTGCAGTGGAAAAAACATCTGAACGAATTAGGCAAGACATGGAAATATGGAGTGTGGATACCCCACGAGTTATCATCACATCAGCTACAACTCCTAAGCCTGATCTGCATCCCAAGAAAGTGATGCTGAGCGTTTGGTGGGGCGTCAATGGGATTATTCACTGGGAAGTTCTTCCAAATGGTTGTACCATCACTGCTGATCTCTATTGTCAACAATTGGGCCGGGTTGCCGAAAAGCTCAAGGAAAAGCAGGATCGAATTTACTATTTGCATGACAATGCCCGACCCCATGTTGCAAAGTCGACCTGTGAAAAATTATTGAAGCTCGGTTGGATTACCGTTCCTCATCCACCTTATTCTCCTGACTTGGCACCAACGGACTACCATTTGTTTCGTTCTCTTTCTCTTCATTTGCGTGAGAAAAAGTTCGACGACGACAACGACGTGAAAATGGATATCGCAAACTTCTTTGGTCAAAAGTCCAAGGACTTCTACAAACGCAGGATCGTATCTCTGCCAGAGCGTTGGCGACAAGTCATAGATAGTAGTGGTGCATATATAACTGAAAGCTAGTTGTATTGTTGAAGTTAAAAAATAAAAATAAAATTTTGGAAAAAAACGCAAAAACTTTGTTAAGAACGTAATATTTGGCATGAACATATACTACGGCACAATTAGAATGAACTACATACAAATAGACGAAATTGAAGTCAGTTCAAAATTTATTTTAAATGAAAGCGAAGTTGTCGTTTTATTTAGTGTTAATAATTTACTTTTTTTGTCTTAGAATGAACAAAAGACGAGCATGAGATATGAATATTGGATACTTCTCAGTCAAAAATGTCCCGAATATGTGCTGGTCATCCCGGTAATCGTCGTTACTGTTACCAGATAGGTATCAGCGCTCATTATTTGCTGTTGATTAGGCAAATTAAACTCGGCTCGGGCCTCGAATGGACCTTGGACACAGTCGATATTTTGTCCACTAATAATTGTCCATGTATAGATGATCTGTGTACCGTTATCCACATTCCAAGAAGTTACTTTCCCGCCCGGAAAGTTATTGGAAATGTGAGAGTATGTTGCATTGGCAGTCTTTTGTACAACGATCTGAATAGTAATGTTCGTCAAAGTGGTCGAACAGCGTATGTTGACACTTTCCGTGTTAAAATTGTAGCTTGGTGATGACGATATACTAATAACAACTGTGAAAATAAACAATAAAAACGTTCGATTCAACTATTTACAATTATAAAGTAGTACAAAAACTACTTTGCTATGTCTTACTACGGATCGAAGGAAATCTGTAAGTTAATTGAAGTTATCTGCTTGTTACAGGGTTCGATTAATATCAAAATATTATTGATTGATCAATTTCTGTTTTTCTGCCTATTTATATGACATTAGACACTTGGAATACTTTGATGAATGCATCATCGTGTACTTCAAATGTTAGAAATCCTTTAAAACTCGTAAATGATTATTTGAAAAATCTACTCGAAGTCAGACGCTGCAATATTGTCCTTCCTGTCGGTATACACTGACTTGTCAGCAGTGCATGAGAATATTCACAAGCAAGATTAATTTTTCCCTTTTCTTATTTTTTGCTTTTTTTTCCATTTCATTGAACAATCTTTTTATGTCTATTCGATACTTTTAACTTCGTTCTTTCCATATAAAATGAGTGAAACTCAAGGTTAGTAGGTAAATAGATACATCGACAAATGCTGAAACAAAATCTATGAAGAAATAAATGTTTACGAAATTCAATTTTTGTTCTTTCTCATCTGATGATATATAAGTAAGAGGTTAGGTTTGTTAAGCAAGAAAAGATTATCGATTAATTCTGTATAAATCTTTCTCATCAATAACATATTAATCATACGTTGTAGTATTATCGCCATGAAAGAAAAACTTATATACATTTCAAATAGCTATGTATTCATTATCAAAAGATTATTTGATAATAAAGAGATTTGGTGTTGTAAACAAAATAGATATGGTTGCTACTAAACTTAGTTGCTTATTGCCAATGACTAACTCGTTCATATAGTTGACGCCCACAATCACGAACTTCAGTACAAAAGAATTTTGAATATTTGAAACAAATAAGCAACATCAAATATGGAAAATAATCTTGTACTGCCAAATAGAATTTTCCTCCAATCGGTCTAACGAGGGCACCTCCCGAGGTGTCAAAAACCTTTTGAGCCCAAATTTTGTCCATAAGTAGAGAATATATAGACTAGAAAAAGTCTAAGAGGATATGGGCCCAGTTTGGGATTTGGCTGAGATATCGGCTTTTTACTATAGTTTTCCTATGGAACCCCATTTTCCCCATTAAGCCAAAGTTTCGGATTTTGATGTGAAACTTTGCCCATATCAAGACCTCAACTAGGGTAGCCCATTTACAAAGTTTCAGAATTTTTGGACTAAGCATTCTGGAGATATGAGTCTGTCAGCATAAACACAGCTTTTTACGGATATTTTTATATGCATGGATATTTTGAAAACGTTATATCTCGGGAATGCTTAGCCCAAAAATTCTGAAACTCTGTAGATGGGCTACTCTAGTTGAGATCTTGATATGGGCAAAGTTTCACATCAAAATCTGAAACTTTGGCTTAATGGGAAAAATGGGGTTCCATAGGAAAACTATAGTAAAAAGCCGATATCTCAACCAAATCTCAACTTGGGCCCATATCCTCTTAGACTTTTTCTAGTCTATATATTCTCTACTTATGGACAAAATTTGGGCTCAAAAGGTTTTTGACACCTCGAGAGGTTCCCTCGTAAGTTACTTCTAGACGTTGATAGTTCGTGTGTACATAAGCAATACTATTGTACATTGTCATTTCTACATACAAATTCTAATAATATGTACATATATGACTCACTTGTTAAGATGAATAAAATGTAGTAAAAGGCAAGTATCGTCTATTCTTTCCTCTCACAGAATCTCTTTTTTGATGTTCTTATATGAAATCAGTAAGTTTTCTCTATAACAAAAAAAACTTATGTTATACACATAAATAAAATTCAGCTCCTGTTCATTTCAAAACTTTTCGTCTGCGATAACTACAATATTAAAATATTTTGGAGGAATATCCATTGATAGGAGTGCTAATATGGTATTCTTGTGATCCATTTTGAGTTTAAGACTCAATCAACTTCTTCGTTCGGTCTACAGTGAAAAATAGCAAAAATGTCTTTTGACTACTTCAACTCAATGAAATGTGACATCAGCATGCTTCATTTTTGCAGTTCCCTTCAATCTTTACAAAATGCGCTAAGCATTCTTTCGAATTCTATCAATGTAAAGCATGAAAAATTTACATCCATGATCTTAAAGAATTATGTGAATTTATTGAGAAAAAAATTGCCATTCGTTTTCACTGAACTAGGGCCACAGTTTTCTTAGGTATTCTGAGATTCGAACCAGATACTTTTTATTTTCATCGAGTTTTTTTTATTTGAGAAATGTGAAGACAAAGAGTACTACATCCGCATATTCCACTTTGTCCCTCAAAAATCGATTGTGATGCAGAAAACAGATGTAAATCCATTGCAAACATAAATCATTTATTGAAAATCAATGATCGTTGGTTAAAACATGCGTTGTTATCGAAAACTACTAGTTATGATTGCACTCAAAGTCTCAAAAAATGTACCAAATATTGGCATTTCTGTGTTATTTTCTGCTTTGGTAGTAGTTACTAGTGACTCTAAAAAATCAATAACTAATGGCTCATGTAGGGGTTGATGTGATTTGAAATGGATGATGCTCAAGATTCATGCGGAGTTTAACTACGGCATTGAAGGCAGATAACCGACCTTTTCCTAACGAATACTCAAAAAAAGTAGAAAGGATTTCAAAATTTATAGAGACTATACCTTGTATTGCTACTATAGATGTATCATTTAAGGTCTTTCATATTTGACTCAAAGTTTATCAAAAAACTTCGTTCACTCACCTGTACTAGTCGTACTAACGGTTGTTGATGCTGATGTAGTCGCCGTACTAACAGTTGTTGATGCTGATGTAGTAGCCGCGCCAACAGTTGTTGATGCTGATGTAGCAGTCGCATTAACAGTTGTTGTTGCCGATCCAGTAGTCGAGTTAGCCGTCGATGTCGATGCTATTGAAATAAAAAATGTTTATCTAGCTTAGATTTTACAAACTTGTAAGTTGTTTTTCAGATGCCTCCAAAGTACCATGTTCAGAACTTGGCGCTATTAGATATGATATAACCCTGGGCAAGACATCAACGACTGCTTGCCTCGTACTATTTATCCGATAGTGTACTGTTTACACATTGATGTGCACGGACTCTTAAGTATAGTATGTCGTTAGTAAGTGCGTACATGAAACTCAAACAACCGAGCGAAAGGACTCTAACTTAGGCTGATCTTTTGTCGTAAGCAACAGCTAGCATTAGGTGTAGAAAAAGCATCAGATGTAAGATAGGGTGTGAGTGTACATATTTTCTTCATCTACACCCACACCTTAGTATGTGATGACGTATTCTACTAATACCTCTAAAAAATGGATGAGAATTGGCCTGACTATTGTTAATTGGCATTTGGATGAATTACGGGTACCAACTGACTAGAAATCTTTAACTGATAATCGTCTCAGTTACTAGTTGCGAAGTAATGACATCTGAAATTAGTTATTGTTTCTAGCAAAGTAGCTATCTAGTGAAGTTAACTTCGAATTTCTGGGGAATAGCACTGATAATGAGCACTTTCATAGGGTTCTCAGGTATCGCTCGTGTACACACCACTTGAATTGTTTGTTTGAGCTTTCATTAAACTAAATAGAAATATAAGGGCGACGATGAGAGCAGCTAACAATATTATGATTGTGCTTATCATCCCACATAGGCAGCAACATGTTAGTCTAAAGAAACGAAAATAGAGAACATTTCACTCCTTGCTGCAGCAACTCACGAGCCTGCAGCCCCTCTTCTTCTATTGTTTGACTCATATTCATCAGAATCAGATGCTGGGCTTCTAGTCGATGCAACGTCGCCATCTGTATACATATTAACATCGAAATCTTTGGAGGATATTGTTTTTGGTCGCTTTGCGATGATCTACATGTTCAATAATATAAAGTAATTATCTCCATATGTAAGTAGATAAATAATGCATACGAACTTTTCGAGGCATCATATGACGATCGTAGTAATCATTCGGAGCCACTTTCCCCGTATTCATCATTTACCGAAATTTTCAAACGAAAACAAAGAAGTAAATGCAAAGCTAATTTTTCTTCTCTCTTATGAATACGCGTTACGTCTTGTCTTTATCACTTGATTAACGGATCATGCAAGCGAGACGACATGGCAATAGAAAGGAGAAAAAGATGACTCCTTTGCAGTATTCGCACTATATCAGCTGCTCTTCGGACAAACATCTTAATATTAGACTAGAAAAGATATCTTCTCTCCTTCTTATGATCGGATGAAAACGATCTGAATTATGAAAATACGACATTTTTTCTTGAATACAAGTTGTTTGTAACGCACAATATAACAGAATAATCCAAGATCTGCAGAAACCTTGTCTTCTGATACATCAAATTAGATTTACCCACCCTTTCCATTTTCGTTTTTTTTTCTAACTGACCGAAAACTACCTAGTCATTGGAAGGTTGAACATGAAATCTCAATTTTTTATCCTCAATGAGAGAAATACGAATGTAATTCTACTTTAACAACAATGTAATCTTTCGAGAACATCTCAAGTTCTAAAAATTAAAGCTACGCATAGACTTCATAAATCTCTTCGTAGACAAAGACATGGAAGATAAGCAGTATACTTGCATGAAGAAGGTAGTATAACTATATAAGAATACTGAAATTTATCGTCATTCAGAGAAAATAGAAAAACTCCGACAAGAAAAGCCAAGCAATGTTATTTCAAATCAGAAAAGAGTTTCGAAAGTATGGTCACATATTTTGATGATGAATTTTGACAGAGTGAATATGAAGATCAAACGAACCAAAACTAAGACAAGACAAAATAGTAGCAAACGTGAACAATAGCAATATAGTAAAAATTGAAGAAGAATGGAAAGTTTCATAAAGATAAAAGAACTTAGAAAATATTCGAAACGAAAAGATAGAGCAAGATGCAGTTGATTACAACTGTTCTTATTTTTGGAAGAGATTGACACACCATTAAAATCTTCTCTGGATAGAAAAATTCTGATTATCTGATTGGTCAGAAGTCCTGAAAGATATAAACATTTCGATTTAATTAGGATCGCTTTTTTCAAACGAGCTCAATCAGTTGGCAAAGATCGCAGCTGCAAGTCTAAAATCTTGTGAATATATTTATCTTCAGTTTTAGCATCAAAAGAAGATTTTCTCATTAGATTCACGAAAATTATGTTCAACTTCGACACTTATCCAGTCTTCAAGATAAATTACATGGTGAAAGTGCCGTAGTATATTCCGCAGAATTTTGATGAAATCTATGCCCAAGAGGCAAGAAGCAGCAAATTTCAAAGAGATCGATGAATCTAATGAGAAAAATCTTTTGAATCTTAAACATAAGACCAATGAAGTTTTAGGTAAGTTTTAACGAAGAGCTTTGTTCTTATTCATCATATCAAGCTTCAATTTCTGCATAAAATCATGAATTTTCAAGTTGTAGTTTTGGTACAAACTTTTCTACTTCATCTGTGCAAAATTCAAATGTGAAATATGATGGATCCACTCCAAATATAAAAGAAATCGTGGATGACACCTCCGAACATATCCTATCTGTCTGTTATGGTCTATAGGGTGATGTCGATAGGGAAGCGGTTCAATTTTTTGGTTATATACTTGACAATTCGTTATTGATTGTCCTTCAAAAAATTTTGTGTAACCTTATTTAACATTAATCGAACTCATACCTACCAGAACTATAATCCAAAATTTTTCTATGAAATGTTAAGACGTTTGAATCAGGATTAAAAGTCTCAAATTGCGATATGAAATAGATAAAGGTAATAAGTATATATATATATATGTGATTAATCTCAGCACTTTTCATTAATTAACTACGTAATAATATAACAAAGATGACAAAACTCAAAACTTACTACACATACTTTGTGTTGCAATCAGAGAAAAAATAACTAAATGTAGTATGCGTATTCAAATCACTGTTAGAATAATAGTTCGGCATATACATCCATTAACTAATGACATATTTGTTTGTTTTTTGTTTACACATCTTGAATTTCTTTCTTCACTAATAAGAATCATCTGGAATCATTATAAGTTCGGCAACGAAAGCAATCAATAATAATGTGGGAATATGGTAATGTAAAATTTTTTATTCATATTTTTGTTAAGGGATGATTAAAAGCCTTTTAAAGTTTGATCCAGGAATGAATGGGTTACGACAAATGAGTGTATGAAAAGAGAAGCACCATGAGTACTCACCCATCTATGCATTTTTAACGATTGAAAGTACTATTATGCACACTCTTCGTTCAGTTATTTCTGAATCACCAATAGGTTGATAATGGCAAAAATTGTTATAGATTATTCTGTTCAATTGTTCCATTCAATAAAATATCCGAAGAGAAATAGCAATTGCATTGATTCCCATTGAAATTCGTCATTTTGTAAGTGATGTACTATCGGTTCTCTTTGAGAAGTCATGTGCTCCGAAAGCCCACAATGAGTAATATGGATTTTAAAGTAGTATACCTAAATGTCTTTCAGTTGAGAGCGATATTTTGATATATTCGATCAAGCGTTTGTCAACAATACTGCTTAGCAGATCAGTCTCAATCAACGGACTTGTTAGATTTCTCAGTTGTCCCGCAATGACAATTGATCCTTTACTAAACTTGACTTTTCAATACAGCAGGATGATGTAATAGTTGGCAATAGAGCTAGGACGGATTTCATTTGAGTGACTCGCAAGAGTTTCATTTTCAGATCGAAGAATTAACTGAATGACTTTCTCACTCCACAAATGAAAAGAGAACAAGTATTAAAAGTCGCACTATTTGAACTTATTTGATGAAGCACTGCGTTGTCATAATTATAGAGATCAATATGATTTCATTATCAGGATACAAAACTTTTCTAAAATACAAGTCGATTATCTCCTTTCGAAAATTGAAAAGTATGCACAATTATCTGTACTATGTAACTTGAATGATTTTAGACAGTTCTTGTTTATGAAGAAAGAAAATAAAATTATGTAAACAAAAAATCGTACATGTTTTTTTTTTGCTAATGTCTTTTCGTCATTTGATGGTCTTCTAGCGACAATTTGAATTTTTAGATTTATTTGAGAAATCATTTCTCTAATGAGTTTATTTATGTACTTCAAAGCGAGCTCATTATTTTGATCGATGTTGGCTCTCGATAAGAACGTAATCGATCAAACTGATGTTTTTATAATAGTTGAAACATGAAAATTGATCAGATCAATGTTCAAGAGAAAATTTTTGCATCAGCTTTTCACTACTTTTCAGTGTTTTCAGTTTTATATTGGTACCACTACCGAGTTTCCTCTAATCGTACGAAAACAGTTCTAGATGTAGCTAGTATAATGTCACACAACGTTAGCTACGCCTTCCAAAAAACTCATTTACATTTTTTATTCTAAACAATAAACACTGCTCTACACTGAAAAAATCCGCAGAATAGAGTGTGGGTGTGGGTGTGAGTGTGGGTATGGGTTAATAGAAGACCTACACCCTCCCACACCCCACACCCCATACACCGCACGCACACCCACACCCAAAAATATCCTAACATGTCGATAATTGTGATGGCCGAAAAACAAGTATTTATTCATAGAAAAACTTATATTTTATTAAATAAATCGTTTCATTCAACGTTTTAGAATGATATTGAACAAGCGGAAAAAAATCAAATATGTTGAACTCTCTAATGCATTACAAAATGGAACTATAACTCTATAATAGTATAAGACTGAATTATCCAAATTATTACAACAGTAGTCGACATAATTTTTTTGTTTTGTTTTGTTAAAAAATTTATTTTTGAATTGATTCATTTAGAAAAAAATAAAGTGAATTAGATTTTTGTTAAATTCAACATGATTTATAAGAACTTTGAAAAGTTGATTTTAGATAAAATTGAAAATTCATGATTTCTATGATCAAGCATGTCAATATATATTGCATTACATAAATCTATTCATCGATTATTAGATGAATTGAAATTCACCTTGAAAAAAGTCTAACAGTATTTTATACATCAGTAGCTCATCAAAAACTAACTTTTTGTATTATTAAAAGTTAGGAATGCTTTCTAGTTTTTCGCAGACTACAAAATGATTTCTTTGGTTTTTTTTTATGCATGATGCTTGAAAAGTTAATGTCACAGAGCCAAAGAAGTTGTGAGAACAGTTTTAAAAAGCTGAAGATTTTCTCACTTGCCTTCTGAACTACCAACTTGTGGAAAGCGCAACCAAGTTGGATTTTGAAGTACATACATAACCCTTCACATAATAAACATAAACTCAAGTATGTAGCTTAATTTAAATGAGTGAAAAAATATCATTGGACACTGGTTTTTCCGTATCTTCGGTAATG